CTATTTCATCTAACATTCTTTCTGAAGTTTCTGCTTTTTCTTTCATTTGGGGATTGTTTGTTTGTCTTCTCATTGTTTGAGACTCTTCTTGTTAGTCTCTGCTTCTAAAATTGATGTGTTCTGAAACCCTGGTTTTATCGTGTGAACTTCTGTGGTATGATCCTTTTGAAGTTCAGTGGTGCAGACTCCTTGAAGTTTCTTGATGTTTTTCATCTCCACCTACTCTCACGCTGGTCCTCGCACTGGTCCTTGCATTGGTCGCCTACCACTGCTGAATGTCCCGGCTCCAGTAGCTGCCTCCTCAAGCACCCAGGCCCGTTACTATGGCCACGGCACAGAGGCTGGGAATGTCCCGGCTCCCGTAGCAGGCTCCTCTGCCGCCCAGGGCCGTCACAGGGGTTTGGAGTGTCCCGGCTCCCATACCTGACTCCCCGGTGTCCAGTCCCGTCGCTATGGCAGTGGCACAGGATCTGCGAACGTTCCGGCTCCCGTAGCGGCTCCTCAGGGCCCAGGCCTGTCTCTATGGCGGCATCACAGGGGCCTTTGGTGTCCCAGCTCCTGCAACTGACCCTTCCGTTGCCCAGGCTGGTAGCTATGGCATCAGCACAAGGGCCGAGAATGTCCCCGCTCCGGTTCCTGACTCCTCTGTCTTTCAGGACCGTCACAGGGGCTTGGAGTGTCCAGCTCCTGTACCTGACTCCCCGGCTCCCAGGCCTGTTGCTCTGGTGGCAGCACAGGGGCCGCGTGAGACCCAGCTCCAGTAGCTGACTCTGCTGCTGTCTGGTGTTTCAGCTTCGGTCACAATCTCTGGTCTTTTAATTTCATAAATGCTGGGTAACCGATGGTTTATTGTGCTATTTCTCTATAGATCTGCCAGGATTTTCACCCATGAGTACAGGAGCTAGTATCAGCTCCATGTTACTCCGTGGCCATCTTCCCAGCATCCCCCTTTGCTTTTGTTTATATGATATATTCCATTTATTGATTTGCAAATATTTTACCCTCGTTGCATACCCAAGATGAATACTACTTGGTTATATTGTGTGATTTTTAAAAATATATTGCTGGATTCGGTTTTCCTATATATTGTTGAGGATTTTAGTTTCTATGTTTATCATTGATACTGGCCTGAAGATTCTTTTCTTTGTTGCATCATTATCTGGTTTTGGGACTAGGATGATGTAGGCTTTATATAAAGAATTCAGGATTCTTCCATCTCCTTGGCTTTCTTGAGATAGTCTGTGAAGTATAGAGGTTAGCTCTTCCTTAAATATTTTGTAGAATTCTCCTGTGAAACCATCCAGTCCAGGGCTTTTGTGTTTGGTGATTTTTTGATTACTGCTTCAATTTCATCAGCTGTTGTTGGTCTATTCAGGCTCTCTGCTTCTTCTTCATTCAGTAATAGAAGATTATTTTTTTCTAGATATTTGTCCATTTCACCTAAGTTTTAACACTTCTTGGCATATAGTTCTTCCTAGTAATTTCTTTTTTAAAATATATTTTGTTGATTATGCTATTATAGTTGTCCCATTTCCCCTCTTCATTGTCTTCTACTCTGCACAGCCACTCCTGCCCAAATTCCCCCCTTTAGTTCATGTCCATGTGTCATAAGTTTTTTGGCTTCTACATTTTCCATACTATCCTTGCCCTCCCTCTGTCTATTTTCTGCCTGCCATTTATGCTACTTATTCTCTGTACCTTTTCCCCCTCTCTACTCCCCCCACTCCACTGTTGCTAACCCTCCATGTGATCTCCATTTATGTGGTTCTGTTACTGGTCTAGTTGTTTGCCTAGTTTGCTTTTGTTTTAGGTGTGGTTGTTAATAACTGTGAGTTTGCTGTCTTTTACTGTTCATATTTTTATCTTCTTTTTCTTAGATAAGTTCCTTTAACATTTCATATCATAAGGGCTTGGTGATGCTGAACTCCTTGAACTTGACCTTATCTGAGAAGCACTTTATCTGCCCTTCCATTCGAAATGAAAGCTTTGCTGGATAGAGCAATCTTGGATGTAGGACTTTGCCTTTCATGACTTTGAATACTTCTTTCCAGCCCGTTCTTGCCTGCAAAGTCTCTTTTGAGAAATCAGCTGACAGTCTGATGGGAACTCCTTTGTAGTTGACTCTCTCCTTATCTCTTGCTGATTCTAGAATTCTCTCCTTCATTTTAATCTTGGGTAATGTAATTATAATGTACCTTGGTGAGTTTCTCTTTGAATCCAACTTCTTTGGGACTCTCTAAGCTTCCTGGACTTCCTGTAAGTCTATTGCCTCTGCCAGATTGGGGAAGTTCTCTTTTATTCTTTGTTCAAATAAGTTTTCCACTTGTTTCTCTTTCTCTTCCCCTTCCAGTACCCCTATAATTCAGGTGTTGGAACATTCAAAGATGTCCTAGAGGTTCCTAAGCTTCTTCTCATTTTTTAAAAATTCTGTTTCTTCATTCTTTTCTGTTTGGTTGTTTCTTTCTTTCTACTGGCCCACTCCATTGATTTGAATCCCATTTTTCTTCCCATCACTCTTGGTTCTCTGTGCATTTTCCTTCATTTCACTTAGTGTAGCCTTCATCATTTCACATAATTTGTGGCAAAAATCAACCAGTTCTGTGAGCATCCTGATCACCAGTACTTTGCATCAGATAGGTTGTACATCAGATAGGTTGGCTATCTCTTGGTCACTTAAAAGTATTGGCTCTGGGGCTTTAATTTGTTCTTCTGTTCAAGCCATAATGTTTTGGTTTGGTCCTGCCTGTTATGTAGTGAGGGGCAGAGCCTTAGGTGTTCAGCAGAGCAGATCGACCCAGTTACTGGATTGTGACACTGTATGTGGGGGCAGGTTCCAAGAGGAAACAATGGCACTTGCTCCTCTCTGTCTTGGATTTCAATCCCTTCTGCTGCTTCCCATAAGGAAATTGAGCCCTTCTGGTGCTGGTTCCTTGGTGTGTGGGCTTCTAAGACCCTGTGGAAACGTCTCTCCAATGTACTCTACTTTGAGGCTGGAGTCTCTCCCAGCGCCTCAACCCCACAAGTGTTTTCAATCAGTGCTCTTAGACTTTATTTTTTTGTGCAGGTTCCATGGGTTGCATGGTTTGTCTCACTGCCCTTTTTTGTCTGGTTTATCTGCACAGGAATGTGTGACCATGGTCAGCCAGCTGCCTTGCGTGCCTCACTGGGTCTGCTTGTTGCCACATCATGCCTGGGGTCTGCAGGCTGCTACCTGTGCACCTGGGTCAGCCAGCCACTACTTTTTTCTGGTGTGACCCCTCTCTGCTGGCTGCCAACTCTACCCCTCTTACTGGTGTGGATGAATGCTTGTCAGACTTTTGTACAGTTCAATTTTGTGTCAGTTCTGGGTGCTTTTTGTTTAAATTTTTGTTGTCCTTAATTTTGTTTGTGGGATGAGGCACACTGTGTCTAACTATGCCTGCATTTTGGTTGGAAGTCTCTTCATAGTAATTTCTTACAATCCTTTGTATTTCTGTAATATTACTTGTAATCTCTCCTCTTTTATTTCTTCTTGTGTTATTTGGGTCCTCTTTCTTTTGTTTTTCATGAGTCTGCTTAAAGGCTTGTCAATTTTATTTATCTTTTCAAAGAACTGGCTCCTGGATTTATTGATCCTTAGAATTGTGCTTCTAATCTCTATGTGTTTAATTCTGCTCTGATCTTGGTTATTTACTTCCTTCTACTTACTCTGGACTGTCTTTCTTGTTCTTTCAGTTTTTGTAGGTATAGTGTTAGGTTGTTTATTTTAAACGTTTCTATGTTTTTTAGGTAGACCTGTATTGCTATGAACTTCTCTCTCAGGGCTTCCTTTTTGTGTCCCATAAGTTTTGGGTTGTTGTGAGTTCATTTTCACTTGTTTCCAGAAACTTTTTGATTTTTCCTATGATTTTATTCTTGACCAATTTATTGTTTAATAGCATGGTTTTCAGTCTCCATGAGTTTGAGTGTTTTTGAGTTCTTTCCTTGAGGTTGGTTTCTAGTTTCAGTCCCTTGTGGTCAGAGAAAATGCGTGATATGATTTCAGGTTTCTTGAATTTCTTCAGGCTTGTTTTGTGTTCTATCATGTGGTCTATCTTTGAAAATGGTCCTTGTGCACTTGAAAAAACTGTGTATTTTGCTTCTTTGGGATGAAAGGCTCTCTCTATATATATCAGTTAAGTCCATTTCATCTGTACATTGTTCAATATCACAATATTTTTGTTGATATGTTGTTTGGAAGATTTGTCTATTTTTGACAGTGGGGTGTTAAAATCTCCTACTATAATTGTGCTGCTGTCAATGTCTTTCTTAAAATCCTCTAAGATTTCCTTTATGTGTTTGGTTGCTCCTATGTCAGGTGCACATATATTTACAATGTTTATCTCTTCTTGATGGGTCTTCCCTTAAAGATTATGAAGTGACCTTCTGGGTCTCTTTTTTTGGCTCTTTTTTTGAAGTCGATTTTGTCTGATATGAGTATGGCTACCCTGGGTTTTTTTCCTGTTCATGTGCTTGGAATATTTGTTTCCAGCCCTTCACTTTTAGTCTGTGTATGTCTCTTGTAGGCAGCATATGTGTGGGTCATGCTTTCTTATCCATTTAGGTTTTTTATATCTTTTGATTGGAGCATTTAATTTATTTACATTTAAAGTTATTGTGATAGGTACTTATTCATTGCCATTTTTTCATGCCTGTGTTCCTTTCTTTTCTTAAAGCATCCCCTTTAGCATATGTTGCAGATCTGATTTAGTGGAGGTGTATTCTTTGGCCTTGGTTTTTCTGGGAAGCTCCTTATTTCAACTTCCATTTTTAATCTGAGCCTTGTTGGATAAGGTAGTCTTGGTTACATGCCTTTGGTTCTCGTTACTTGGAATATTTCCTGCCATTCTCTTCTGGCTTGAAGCATTTTTATTGAGAAGTCAGCTGCTAGTCTTATCAGGGCTCCCTTGTATGTTACTTTCTGTTTCACTTTTGCTGCCTTTAAGTGTTTCTCTTTGTCTTGTAATTTTTTCGTTGTACAGAATATTGAACTGTATGGAAGTCCGACAACAATGAACCATTCATCTAGACTGGTAAGAGGGGCAGAGTCAGTGGTGGAGCGGGGTCGAGCAGGAAAGATCAGCTGGACCGACCCAGAAGCTCAGGAGCACAGGAGTGCAGGAGCACAGGAGCACAGGAATGCAGGCGGTGGTTGGCAGATTTCAGACATGGGGTGGCAACAGGCAGACCCAGTGAGGGCACAAGGTGGTTGGGTGACCGTGGTACACATTCGCACGCAGATAAACCAAGTGAAGGAGTGAGCAGTGAGACAGACCACTCAGAACAGGGCCCTAATGATGGGAATTAGAGCCTGAAAGCACCAATTGGAAAGACTTTCAGGGTCGAGGTGCTGGGAGAAGCTCCCAGGCTCACAGAGAGTTCGTTGGAGAGACCCACAGGGTCATGGAGGGTGCACAAGCCCACACACAGGGCAACCAGCACAAGAAGGGCCCAATTTGCTTTTGGGAAGCGGTAGACGAGACAGAAATCTAAGAGAAAGTGGAACAAACACCCTTGTCCCTCTCTGACCCCACCCCTACAGACAGCTTCACAAACCAGCAACCTGGGTGGCCCCGCCCTGGTGAACAATTAAGGCTCCACCCCTCATACATAACAGGTGTGAACACACCAAAACATTATGGCTCAAGAACAGCTCAAAGCCCAGAGCCAATAAATCTAAGTGACGAACAGATAGCTAACCTTTCAGATACACAGTTCAAAACACTGATGATCAGGATGCTCACAGAACTGGTTGATTTTAGTCACAAATTAGAGGAATGTATGAAGGCTATGCTATGTGAAATAAAGGAAAATGTACAGGAAATCAATAGTGATGGAAAGGAAACTGGGACTCGAATCAAGGGAGTGAACCAGAAGGAAGAAAGAAACATCCAATCAGAAAAGAATGAAGAAACAAGAATTCAAAAAAATGAGGACAGACTTAGGAATCTGCAGGGCATCTTTAAACATTCCAATATCTAAATTATAATGGTACCAGAAAAAGAATAGGAAAGAGCAATAGGTGGAAAAGGTATTTGAACAAATAATGAAGGAGAACTTCCCCAATTTGACAAAGGAAATAAATTTCCAGGAAGTCCAGGAAGCTCAGAGTCCCAAAGAAGTTAGACCCAAGGAGGAACACACCAAGACACATCATACATTACATTAGCCAAGATTAAAATGAAGGAGAGAATCCTAGAAGCAGCAAGAGAAAAGGAGACAGTCACCTACGAAGGAGTTCCATAAGACTATCAGCTGATTTCTCAAAAGAGACCTTAGGGGCAAGAGAGGGGCTGAAAAGAAGTATTCCAAGTCGTGAAAGGGAAGTACCTACATCCAAGATTACTCTATCTAGCAAAGCTTTCATTTAGAATGGAAGGGGAGAAAACGTGCTTCCCAGATAAGGTCAAGTTAAGGGAATTCATCATCACCAAGCCCTTCTATGAAATGTTAAAGGGACTTATCTAAGAAAAAGAATATAAAAAACATACACTAAAATGACAGCAAACTCACAGTTATTAACAACCACACCTAAAACAAAAAAAAACCAAAAACAAACTAAGCAAACAACTAGAACAGGAACAGAATCACAGAAATGGAGATCACATGGAGGGTTAGCAACAGGGAGTGGGAGGAGGAGAGATGGGAAAAAAGGTACAGAGAATAAATAGCATAGATGGTAGGTAGATAATAGACAGGGGAGGGTAAGAATAGTATAAGAAATGTAGAAGTTAAAGAACTTATAAGTATGACACATGACATGAACTAAAGTGGGGGGAATGTGGGGGGGTGGAGGGTGGCAGGGAGTGAAGGGGGAAATGGGATAACTGTAATAATATAATCAATAAAATATATATATTTTAAAAAGCTTAAAATTGCTCATCTGTAGAGGTCAGGAGGTGGAGGAAAAAAATTGACAGAATAGAGGTGGGAATAAGACATCTGAATATATATCTTTTTAGGCCTGAACTATTTAAGAAGGAAAATAAAATATAAATATATAAACCCATCATTAAGATTGGTGATTTTCACTACTCATGTTCAGCAAAATAGGTTCAGTGACCGAGTAGGGAGAGACTTAGATGTATCTAGGATACAGGCTTTGTTAAGCAGGCAGAAATGAGAGGGCCAAGAGAATTCACACTGGGAACGATTCCGAAGTTGGATGATTAGTTGAACATAGAATTTAAGTTGGGTGAGAATAGGTGTGAGTTTGGTAACAATGTAAAGAAACCAGAGAGAAGGATATTTGATATTTTGGAGATATTACAGACAGTGGTAATGACAAGGTCCAGGGTAGTGACATGAGTAGGTGAGTGAACTACAGTGGAAGACAAGATCATTGAACTAGAGAGGTCAGGGAATTGGGAAACTAGGGTAATATTAAGAATAAGAATATGGATATTTGAAATAGCTGAGATTTAAGATAGGAGTACTGAATACAGTGACACTGATCCAGGATCTGAAATTCCTGAGGGTCAGAAATATGATTGTCAACAAATCACTAAAACCAAGAGGTATTGCATGGTATAGTCTGATCAAATGATGACAGATTTCAGAGGAGGGACAGTTGTCTGACAGGAGCAGGAGTAGGGAAGACAGTGGTTTGAAAATTGTAGGAGCAGAAACAAGACACCCACTTAAGATGTCCTTACAGGAAATGGTGTCCTCAGGGGAAAATGATTAATCAGATAGCACATGGAAAATCTTTGAACTTCTCCATACTTTTGAGATTTCAAATTAGATATTATGTGTAGGGTTATCTCACTGGGTGGGGAGATCTTTGATTTTGTGAGGCATTAGGATTTGGTGAAGATATGATTGGTGCTTGCATATAGAAAGATCAAAGATCTTGCCAGGAAATAGATGAGTACCAGTTTCAAAATTAAACTTTAGATTAAACTGGATATGGTACACTTAGGTCACATCTATGTGAGTTTGCATCATTCTACACCATTCTTTACAGAGGGACATGGAAAGTGTACAAAGAGTAGTGATGGATAATAACAGGTCAGATCTCCCAGATGTGATTTCCAAAAAAATAGGATGACATGTACCTTAGAAAGTCCAGATGTATGAGAGTGATGAAGGCTTTTATTTATAAGATCAAATGCCATGCCACCAATTAAGAAAAGAGATGTTAAGTTACTATTGCTCCATAACAAATCACTTCAAAACTTAGAAGATTAAAACAACAACTATGGTTTGGCTCTCAAATATGCAATCTGAACAGGACTCAGTATCACTCCTATTTTACATCAGTTGTAATGGCTTGACTGGAAACTGAATAATCCACTTTCAAGATGCCTCTCACACATGGCTTGCAAGTTGTTGCTGGAACTCAGCCAGGGACATGGTTTCGTGGCCTTGGCTCCTTTTCACATGAACTGCCCCATGGGCTGCTTGGGCTCCCTAGGAACAAACATGGTGGCTGGGTTAAAAAAAAAAAAGCATCCCAAGAGAGTAAGACAGAAGTAAGAAACTTTTATAATCTACTTTCAGAACTCACATAGTCACTTCTGATATACTCTGTAAGCTGAGTAAGTCACAGATATTCTCTCAGGTTCAGATTGAAGGGAAAAGGACCTATATCCTATTCCAATGGTTGGGAATGTTGGGCAGGAGCACGTCAAGATTATATTGAAGAAGAGCATATGGAATGGGAGATGTGGCTCTATCCATCTTTGGAAAATATAGTCTGTGCCAGATGTTTATTAAGGAATTTACATGAGGTAAAAATGCTTATGACAGTAGTTATAATGATGAAGGAAAAATTTCAAGTTCTTTGTCTCAAAATGGAGATTTTCCTGAGAAATTCTGTCAAGATAAAAAATATTCCATTTGGACTTCCAGCCAAGATAGAGGTGTAGGTGGAAACACTGTGCCTCCTTGCCCAACCACATTTAAAGACAACAAAGTTTTAGTAACAAAAATACAACCAAAACACAGAAAATGGAACTGTATGGAAGTCCGACAACAATGAACCATTCAGCCAGACTGGTAAGAGGGGTGGAGTCAGTGGCTGGAAGACCGGGTTGTGCAGGAAAAAGCAGGACTGACCCAGGAGTGCAGGCGGCGGTTGGCGGATCCCAGGCACAGGGTGGCAATGGACAGACCCCGTGAGGGTGCAAGGTGGCTGGCTGACTGTGGTCACACATTCACATTAAGATAAACCAGGCAAAGGAGCGAGCAGTGAGACAGACTGTGCAGGCTAGGGTCCCAGCAATGGGAATTAAAGCCTAAAAGCACCAATTGGAAAAACTTTCGGGGTTGAGGTGCTGGGAGAAGCTCCCAGGCTCACAGAGAGTTTGTTGGAGAGATCTGCAGGGTCCTGGAGGGTGCACAGGCCCACACACCTGGGAGCCAGCACCAGGAGTCCCCGGTTTGCTTGCAGGAAGCAGCAGAGGGGTGCAAAATCTGAAAGCAGAACAAATGCATTGCCCCTCTCTGACCCCACCCCCACATACATCATCACAAATCAGCAATTGGGTCACCCTGCCCTGGTGAACACCTAAGGCTCTGCCCCTCATATGTAACAGGTGCAAACACACCAAAACATTATAGCTCAAGAACAGCTGAAAGCCCCAGAGTCAATACTTCTAAGTGACCAAAGAGATAGCCAACCTATCAGATACACACTTCAAAACACTGGTGATCAGGATGCTCACAGAACTCATTGATTTTAGTCACAAATTAGAGGAACAAATGAAGGCTACACTAACTGAAACAAAGGGAAATGCACAGGAAACCAATAGTGATGGAAAGGAAACTGGGACTCAAATCAAGGGAGTGGACCAGAAGGAAGAAAAAAATGACCAAAGAGAAAAGAATGAAGAAACAAGAATTCAAAAAAAAATGAGGAGAGGCTTAGGAACCTGCAGGACATCTTTAAACATCCCAACATCTGAATTATAGGGGTACCAGAAGGAGAACAGAAACAGCAACAAGTGGAAAATTTATTTGAACAAATAATAAAGAAGAACTTCCTAAATCTGGCAAAGGAAATTGACTTCCAAGGAACCCAGGAAGCTCA